AATTACATTACGATTGCAATAAATTATTTATACGTAGTAATTAATTAGATAGTCGAGCCGACAAATCTATCAATGGTATCACAATTCTGCGATAGAGGGGAATTGCACTGCTAAATAAAGGCAATTAATATACTCTATCACTAGTAGTCATGGGTGATCGATCGCGTAGAAACTTACGCCTCGTCTGGTCTCGCCGTGGAAACGGCGTTATCCGATGACGGTGGTCTCGTTGGCAGCAGAGAGCCGCCCATTCGACGAGAAACAATGGTTCGCGCGCATCGACGCATGGGCAGAGAGAACGCGCCGATGACAATGAAACGTTTAGGAGGGCTGGCCATTGTAATAGGCCGACGATGCGCCTGCTTGGTAGCTCCCGATGACGTACTCGCACCGGCGTATCCCTACTGCCGCGTGCGCATCGGCTTCGGACAGAAAGGGGAACGCTAAGCGTTAGGATGAGTACGGACGAGAGGTACAAAGAAAGAGAGAGAAATAGCTCGCTATTGTTATCAGCAGAGTCAACTTTCGATTGGCGAGAGGGAGACGAAACATTTCCGTGGAGAACGAGTAAAGGCGACGATGAAACGAGAGGAAAAGTTGAACAGACGAAGAGAGCGAAGCTGCGAGAGCGAAGGAAGGAGAAAGAGAAAGAGAGACAGAGAGAAGAGAACGTTGTGGCTATGGTTATGTGGCCACACCCCGCGGAGCCAGCCAACGAGCTCTCCGCCGACTGACGACCCACCTGACCTCACAATGGGCAGATCCACCTAGCTACGCTCGGTGGTTGTGCATTGTTCCCCCTCTGCGCGAGTTAAACGGTGTATACGCCGCTAAAACGGAACGAAAATGCACGGGCGAGAGAGATAGAGGCTTGAAAGGTAGGTACAAAAAATGAAAGAGACGTGTGTGTGATAACCGAAACGAGCCCCCCCCTCGGTTGAACATGTCGTTCACGGTACGCGACACGATGACAACGCCGAAGACGCTGAGAACGCGAAGGCAAGCTTGAGATCGTTAAGGCGTTTAACGGTGCATGAGTGATACGGAATCACGATATGTTCTTTAGAATATACATCGAGCATGTCGCAGATAATTTGACTTGGTTACTTCCATGGACCGCACGTACCTTGTCTAATCGCTTCCCCGCCGACTGGGAGGATGCGGGAAAATAACGCTACAGGAATACAGAGATGTTGAACTCGTTGCTCCTGGATGCTTCGGCGGAACGTAAACTTGGAGAGCATACGTAGTGTGAAAGTCCATAAAATGAAGATTACTTCGAGTTAAAGGGACATTAACGACCTAAGAAGTTCTGTAAATCTTCTTACTATGCACATTCTTGTTAATGACTCATGACGTATATACACCTTCGGAGATTAAAGCGAAACCGTAGACGTATTCTATTGCAGCCATGTTAGACAAGTAGTAAATCCTGAGGGTCAAGATTGAATAGTATATACATTCGAGAGATCGCGGAACATCCCGACGTGGTATGCCTCAACGGAATTAAAGCATAGAAACGATTCAGACTCGTATCGCCGATGCGACAGCGAGATTGAGTCTCGTAACGTCTTCGCACAGATATCCAGATAGACAGATACGCGGAGTGTATACACCTACATCAACAAAACCCGGCGACGGCGACCCCGGCTGCCTTCTCCTCTGCGATGGGTCGATACTCTGCAAGCCGCCACCCTCCCCCGCGCTACCCTCACTCCGCGTCTCGTGCCTCCTCTGTCTTTTGCCCCTACCGCCGCTGTTTCCGTTCAACCCCTTCCATCCTTCCTCTCACATACCCATCTTCACCCACCATCGTACCGTTCTCATCCCTTGTACTTCCTACCCCTACGTCGTCCTCCGTTACCACTTCCTCCTCCTTCTCCTCCGACCGTCTCTGCCTTCCCGCCGCTGCCACCGCCGCCTCTTTTACCCTCGGTGGCCTCGTCCATAGGTGTACCGGTTGATTGATCGTTTATCGATACGCAAGGGCCCACCCCGGCGAGTTGCGGGTACGTCCTACACCCGGTCCTCTGCCATCCCCCCGCGGTCCCGCACCCCGTCCGTTCCCACTTTCAAGTATACGCATTACACATTTATAAGGGCGTTAAACACGGGCCGCATCGATGGCATAGAACGCTGTACAAGGGTATATATGCGTATTTCCCTCATCCTCTCCGTGTTCTTCCCTCCGCGCTTCTCTTGATACTTTGCCCTCCGTTCTCTACTCTTCCCTACCTCCGCTCCTCTCTCTCTCTCTCTCTCTCTCTCTCTCTCTC